GCCCTGCTTCAAAAAACTACTGGTGCTGATAATGTAGATTTTGAGTGTTCCCCAAAGGCCCTGACATGGGGAGCTTTGCAGGGTGGCAGATCCTCTAGGAGAGAGGACCTAGTAGAAAGTCTTAGGTCACTGGGAGTGTGCCCTTGAAGAAGGTTACAGGACCTTGTTCTCTTCCATGGCAAATGACTTTACCATGCTCTCCCTCCATGATGTGCTGCCTTGCCACAGGTCCAAAAGTGGCAAGGACAACCAAACATGGGTTGAATTCCCCAAAGCTCTGATCCAAAATAAAGTTTTCCTCTTTTTAAAGTTGATTATCTCAGGCATTTTGTTACAGTAAGAGAAAGCTAGCACATTAGGATGGTTCATTTTTTTCCTTAAGCCAGAAATTAATAAACAGCGAGGATATAAAGAAACAGAACTGGCAGAAATGTAAATGATGTAGTCTCTGTGGAAATACTATAGTGGTTCCTCGAAAGAGTACACATAGGGGGCTGGAGAGATGGCTTAGCAGTTAAGAGTGTTCTACTGCTCTTGCAGAGGACCTGGAGTTTTGTTCCTAGCACCCACATCAGGTAGCAAAAAAAAAAAAAAAGTAAAAATGTTTCTCCTAAAATAGTAAATCATGAATCATGTATACTTTACCAATATTTTTCTTTGTCTTTTAAAAAAGATTTATTATTATTATTAATATTATTTTTTTTGAGACAGGGTCTCCCTGTAGCCCCAGCTGTCCTGGAACTCACTATGTAGACCAGGCTAGCTTTGAACTCACAGAGATCTGCCTGCCTCTGCCTCCTGAGTGCTGGGATTAAAGGCGTGTGCCACCATGCCCGGCTTTATTATTTTTATTTTATGTGTATTCATGTATATGCCTGCATGTAGTTTAAGTGCACCCATGTCATGCAATGCCTGCAGAGGACAGAAGAGGCTGTTGGATCCCCTGGGACTGGAGTTACAGACAGTTGTTAGCTGCCATATGGGTTCTGGGATTCGAACCCAGGTTTTCTGCAAGAACAACCAGTGTTCTTAGCCACTGAGCCATCTCTCCAGCCCCCCTCCCCTTTGTCTTTTTGAGACAGGGTCTCCCTGGACCCCCAGCTGGTCTGGGACTCACTATATAGACCAGACTGGCCTTGAACGTACAGAGATCCACCTGCCTCTGCTTCCCGAGTGCTGGGATCAGAGGCATGTGCCATGCCTGGCTTTCCACCACTATTTTTCAAGCTTCCCCCCACCCCCCAGGTCTTTTTGAAATAGGATCTTCCTGTAGCCCCAGCTGTCCTTGGAACTCACTATGTAGACCAGGCTGGCTGTTGGATCCCCTGGGACTGGAGTTACAGACAGTTGTTAGCTGCCATATGGGTTCTGGGATTCGAACCCAGGTTTTCTGCAAGAACAACCAGTGTTCTTAGCCACTGAGCCATCTCTCCAGCCCCCCTCCCCTTTGTCTTTTTGAGACAGGGTCTCCCTGGACCCCCAGCTGGTCTGGGACTCACTATATAGACCAGACTGGCCTTGAACGTACAGAGATCCACCTGCCTCTGCTTCCCGAGTGCTGGGATCAGAGGCATGTGCCATGCCTGGCTTTCCACCACTATTTTTCAAGCTTCCCCCCACCCCCCAGGTCTTTTTGAAATAGGATCTTCCTGTAGCCCCAGCTGTCCTTGGAACTCACTATGTAGACCAGGCTGGACTTGAACTCACAGAGATCTGCCTGCCTCTGTCTCCCAAGTGTTGGAACTAAAGGCATGTGCCACCACACCTGGCCTCAAGCTTAATTTTTTTTAAGCATGTTTTTAAAAATTACTTTTTAAAAAATTTTATGCGTATATTTTATTTTATGAGCGTAATGCCTGCATGTATGTAAGTGCATGCATGTCATGAAATGCCCATGGAAACCAGAAGAGGGTGTCAGATCCCCTGAAACTAGAGTTACAAACATTTGTTAGCTGCCATGTGGGTGCTGGGATCTAAACTCAGGTTCTCTGCGAGAGCAGCCAGTGCTCTTACCCGCTGAGCCATCTCTCCAGCCCCAAACTTAAGTGTGTGACTCTTTGGGCAGCGACATCAGGGTTTTTCCTTATTCTAGTGTGTTCTCTTGTCTGAAGAATGTATGTCTTCAGTTTTCTGAGTGGCAAGCCAGCCCTTGCTCGATGGTGTCAGGAGAGCTGAACATGGCTTAGAAAGAACCAGCCAAGGGAGAACCCCACCAAGTAACTGAGTGCACTGAGAAAGGGAGAGAGCCACTGCCATCCTTCATGTCTCTCTTTGACAGCCTGTGACTGACTGTGTCACTCAAGGGAAGGCAGAAGTCCACAGTCAGCTTCCCTGCTCTGGTGGCCCAGTGCTGAGGGCCTCTGGGAGGTACAGGCTTGAATGGTAGCAGGCCCTAGCTGATGCGTGGTTGGGGAGTGTCATCATGTGGGTGGGAAGGAAACGCTGAAGGATGCCCCTACAGGGACTTGCCCAACCCATCTTATGAACAGGGAAAACAATTTTCTTAGGAAACTGTTGTTATAAATGACAAAATCTGGCTGAGAACTACAGTAGGGAGGAGAGGACCAATGGAGGCTGAGCAAGGACAGCTCAGTTTTGTAGGGGCACCTAAAGACTTGCTGGAATCCGGGGTACCCTGTTTCTAATATGAAGAACAACACAACAGGCAGCATGGAAACACATTTCTGAGGAGCAATTGCTTGTGTTAAAGCCACTGGGCATTACGAGCTGATTCCCTTCAGCTCTTGACTCCCTAAGCACATTTTAGGATGGTGACGTTTAAGGTCCTGGCAAAGGTCAATGACAGAGAATACAAAACCATGGTTAGGAATTATCACTGATTGGAGACTGACCATAAAAATAATACGTGTGAAATAATATTGTAAACTACAATTGCAATTTGTAGTCTGGTCCATTGTGTGAATTGTCATGACAGACATTTATCTTGTATTTCCCATGGGGACTCTAGACTTCCCTGGCCTCCCAGCTGGCAAATGCCCAGGGTGGGTGAGTTCTCACTCATACCACCCTTGCACTGATTTAAAGGCATACACTGCTTAGAGAAAAGAGGGTAAAGGAAGGGAGCTAGATGGTGAATAGAGGCATCTGTCTTTCCTGTTCTCCCATTGGCATTCCATGTCCCCAGGATTAGTCAGCTGTTACTAGATTGGTCCTTGCTGCTGATTCTGCATGAATGGGGACCAGGAGACTGCATACTCCCTGAGAGCAAGCATATGTCTTTATGTCAGTCTGGGATTCTAACAACAATAGTTAACACAGATGAGCAGTTACAACAAGCCAGGAATTATGCTAAGCCTTTTACATACAGTAACGCTTTTAATCCTCATAATGAACCCTAGATTTTCCTACACCTATTTGCATTCAGCAGATAGGCAGATTAAAGACTAGAGGTTAACTAGCCCAAACTCACACAGTTCAATAAGTCCTGCCACTTTTCTCAGACTGGAACTCTCCATGAAGGAGTGCTGTGCCTTTCAGTATGTCCAGAAATTTATTGCCATAGCATTAGTGGGGCTTCGAGAATGCTGATCAGTCTAGAGGCTCCCTGAAGGTAAGGGTCCTGTCAGAATTCCTTGGCATGGAGGCCACAGTCCTGAGCCCTCAGCCCCAAGGGCCCTGTACTACCCTCTGCCCTATCTGGCAGGTGCATCAGGGGACCTGACAGTTCTTCACAGGCACTTCCCAGGCAGATCAGCTTGGTGGAGTAGCTCTTCTACTACCTTGGCTCTCTCCTGCCCAACACAGGCCCCTGACCACAGCAGCTGCTGGGCCTGCATGAAGCATGACTCCTTTCCGAGGCCAGCTCTGGGCTAGCTGATCGGATCTGAGCATGTGAGGTTGGGCTACCCCCGGGATTTGCCAGGCAGTAAACAACCCATTCATGCGTCAGTTGTTTTGCTCCAGAGCAGCCTCATCAGCTGGACAGGCCCTGACCAGATCCGCCAAGTTTATCCCCATGGGTGGGCTGCAGGCGGGGAGTGCCTGGAGCTCAGCTTAGTCTTTTCTAAAAGGCTAGTTTCCATGCCCTTGAAGCCAGAGGTCTTTGCCAGGAGCAGCAATCTCTGGTAGTATCATATTAAGTCTCTGAGAGGTAGGGGAAGGGCTGCTGTTGCTGCTTTTTGTGGGGGGATGGGAGTAGGGAACAAATTGGGAAGGAAGTGGCAGTCAGCTGAGAGATATACCAGAGAAGCTTCCTGAACCACTACAGCTCTCTAGTCTCAGGGCTTGAACAATTGGCTAGGACCCCCTAGACCCCAACAGTTCTTTCTTGCTATCCTATCTCTTCCCTTCCCAAACTGCCAAGTCTATTCAAGTTATCTCTACAAGCGTACCCTATGTATCATGGCAGAAAAAGATAAGCCGAGGAAAGAAGGTTCAATAGACCAGGGTAGCGAGGGATTGGGATGTGGCATTATGGGTAGAAAGCTTGCAGAAGTAGACACCCAAGAATATAGATCAAGGGCCAGAGTGGTAAGGTAGGAGGTGAGGGGGCTGGGAACCCTTGCTGGAGGAAGCTGAGACACTACCCTCACTATCTTTCTAACTGGCACTTTCATCAAAATACTGTTTTCTCCTAGCAGGTAGATGGATCTGGTATTCATTGCCTCTTTTTTAAATGGGAAAGCAAACTAATTCTTCTGCACTCTACCTAGTTTGCAGAAGAGCTGGGACTAAAACTGGGTTCCAGGCTATTTGAGTCAGATCTTTTGAGGCAAAGTCTCAGGAAGGCAGGTAGGGGAATACCAAAATGGACCAATCAGCAGTGCTTCTGATGCCAGCCCCACCCACCACTCCTCTGTAGAATAAGCCACATTGATTTCAGACAGTCACACAACAGCTTTCTGTAGATCCATTTTGTTACAGCACAGCAGACACATCCTGGGCTCCACTCTACTTTTGAGGCATCCTATCCTACCAAATTTCCCCCATTGTCCTCCCCAGCTTCCTGCCCCACCTGTCCAAAGGGCCCATGTGCTCACCCTGTTGTGATGTCATCATCCTCTGTCATGGTCTTGCCCATGAGGTCACTGTCGCTCATGTAGCCAGACTTGAGGTCCACCTCATCTGAGTCCAGGGACTCTACCAGCTCCAGGCGGGAGATGTGGCTGAGCTTGCTGGGGCTCCGCATAGGCATGGTGTGGGAGTAGTGTGCCCGTTCCCCATGCATGTACCAGGCTGGTGGACCCTCTGAACGGCAGCTTCCACCCACCGAGGGCGCATCGCCAGCCTGCAGCCTGGGGCTAGATTGGCCATAGCGCCAAGAGAGAGGAGAGGAGCGGTTGGAAAGGCTGGATACACTTCGAGGGTTGGCATCATCGCTATCATAACAGGTCATCTCCAGGGAGCTAGGGAGAGCAGAAGGGCAGAGATTTAGTCTTCAGCCTGGCCCCTCTGCCCTCTGCCCCCTCATTAGGATGTCCCCCTGTGGGGACTCTGTGTGTTACAAGGTATCTCAAGTTGCCAAGGAACAATGATCCTAAGTGGCTAATCCCATATAGTCCTAAGAGCCCATGATATGAATGTGGCCTGCCTTTAATGCTTTTTGTCATTTACTGGTAAATGAGCCCAAGGGAAGAAATTAATCTTGCTGGGTCTCTGTTTCCTTCTCTGTGAGAGGGGATAATGCCCAAGTGCTTGTTTATAGAGTTGGGAAGATTGCAGATACACAGATTTGACTGAGCCTGACAGGTAGAAGATGCTCACTCAACCAGAAAGTCAGTAGAACTTGGTGGGGGTAGGTTGTAGGAACTGGTCACCAGAACTCAGAAGGCCTTGAATATTACTTTGATTGGGGTATGGTCATCACCTCTTTCTGCAGGTGAGCCAAGGATTAGCTGCTTCCCAGGCACAGATCTAGGAAAATTTGAGGGTACAGGACAAACTTCGGGAACCTGAGATGTGAAGCAGGGCCCAGGAAGACTGGTCCTAGTCACAGGCCTGGGAGTCAAGAGAAAAAGCAGTCTCCCAGGGAGCAGACACAGCCTTCACTGGGTACAGGAGAGGACCCAGGGAAGCAGAGAAAGGGTACAGCAAGATCCACTAGGGCATGCCAAGGAAGCCACGAGCAGGTTAATGCCTAAGTTCAGGGACCCTGGGAAACTTCTCTGGGAAATATGGTTGAGATCTGGTTAGAGGAGTGGGCAGGGCTTTAGTTCAAGCTGAGATTGATAAGTCCACCCATCCTAGCAGTGGTGCCAGTCCAAATAACTTAGACCCTTCTTTATTACCGGGCCTGACCAAAGTCAATAAAATGAAGTATGTGGGCCACCAAGCTGGGCAGCTGAGGTGACCTGTGGCTGGATGTGCAGTACATAAGCAAAGGAATCATTGTTCTGTGACCACATCCCTTTCATAGCCACTCTCAGGGTTAGGATGGGAAGGTGTGATGGTTTGAATGATAATGTCCCCCATAGGCTCCAAGTATTTGGACATTCTGTTCCCAGATGGTGGTGCTGTTTTGGGAGGTTTTAGAAGGTGTGGCTATCCTGGAGGAAGAACGTCACTGGGGGTGGGCTTAGAGAGTTCTTAAGCCTTGCCAGATCTCCAGTTGTTCTCTTGCTTCCTGTGCCTGGTGATGATGTGAGAGCTTAGCTTCTGCTGCTCCTGCTCCAGCCACCTCAGCCACGGTGCCTTCCTGCCATGACGGACACTAATTCCCCTGGAATCATAAGCTCAAATAAACTCTTCCTTCTATAAATTGCCTGGGTCAGTGTTTCTATCACAGCAACAGAAAAGTGACTGATATAGAGGAGGACATTGATTTTTCTATACATTTTTCTTTTATAAAGTTGCTCCAAAAGAAGAAAATCCTCCAAAGTGGTCTCTATTAGGCCTGCGAAAACCATTTTATTTTTCCTCAGCAGAACTGGAGGGGGTCAGTGGTCCCAAAAAACAGCATGATGGGATCTTTGTAGCTGACATGTGGGCAAGCTGGGGACCCCTGACTGGGCAGGACAAAGGGTAAGCTTTGTCTGATCTCCTGAACACTCCTACTGGACCACACTCCACTTCTCCCCTTCGGACCCACCAGCCCAGTGCTCTGCAGCTCTGCATCCTGTCGCAGCTTCTCATTACTAAGGACCTCAACGCCACCTCCTGGAGAGAATGGAAGTTCCCTGATGGCAGGGAAGCTATGGTCATGGTGTGACTTGGTCTGAATACTCCCTACTGTATTCCAGCACTTCAGAAAAAGACAAGGAACAGACCCAGGATGGGAGTGCCGAATAAAGAGTGGGGATACCCTCACCAGAGATGAAGTTCAGGGCCTCAGCAGTAAGTGCTTAATAAAAACAAGCTGAGCATGACCAAGAGAGGAGGAGGAAGAGAAGTAGGAAGAGGAGGATAAGGAGGAGGAGGAAGAGAAGGAGGAAGAGGAAGAAAAAGAGTCATTCGGGGGCTTGCTTGGGTGGTTAGCACGTGTAGAAGTGAGGGTTCCTCACTGGTTCTGTCCCTTGCCTGCTCTCTGTTGCTCTCTGAACATGAAGTGCCTCTTCCTCTATTTTATGGCTCTATTTTTATCACCCAAACCCATCTCTAGACCTGACTTCTAGCCAGTGCCCATCCCCAGGCTTGCCTCTCTGAGGAGGCCAGTTTTGTTTCCTCTCTAGCCACAACCTCTACCCCAGGCTCTCCTCACTGGGGGGATATGTGCCCACAGAATAGAGGAAGCAGCACAGGAGCCAACATTTCCAAAAAAAGGAACTGAGTCTAGAGCTGTCCAGTGGGTCCTGGGGTAAAAGCAACCTTGATGGACTCACCCTCTGGGCCCCAAGGCCCTCAGAGATAAGGCTGTGTTTGCTCTGAGGGCTGGTGCCCCATGCTGTGGGGGCACACAGCTGCCCCCATCAGCTCGTGCGGTCCCAACCTCAGGTCCTTCCCCTAGTCTAGGGAGTATTATCCGGAAATAGAGGGAAAGACTGATTGATAGAAAGCACTTTAAAACATAAAAGAGCCATAAAAAGTCAGGACATTGGTGTTTGGGCAATCCAAGTGTGGACCAGGAATAATATAAACCAAAGGCTAAGAGAGGAAGTGACCCTGAGTGCACGGTAAACAGAAAATCCAGCCTCTGGCTGTTGGTTCCTTTCCCATAAAGGGAGATAGGAGCCAGGGGTCCCAAGGCACTCCCCTTAAACCGAGGCTTTAGGCTTCCCTTCTCCACCCAAGCAGAAGCTCCTTTGCCTCCTTGGAGGCCAGAGGCTGGCATCAGGGGCACCAGGAGACTGGAGCAGCTGCATCTGCCTTGCCCCTGTGGGTGAGTCATCTGGGGTGTGACTCTTAAAGCAACTCAGCAATTCTTGGTTTCTTTGGCATGAGCCTGGCGGGTGACTTGGCACTGAGAGATGTTCCAGAAACTTCCTTGGATGGGGGAAAGAAAATGTCCGAGATTTCATCCACTAGGTGGCTAAACTGCTGGTGACTCAGCTAGGTTGGAGACCCATTTGTGTTCCTGCTTAGTGCTTGTGGGATGGAGGTAGAGGACAGTGTCCCAGAGTCCCTGAAACCCCACTGCCCACTTTTCCCCAGACTCTTTTTATCACCTCCTTTTCAGTAGTTAGGTCTAAATGACCTGAACAGAGGTAATCCCAGATGTCTGGGAATAAAGGCCTGGCTGTCTAAGGCAGGGTGTCCCTGCCTTGGTGGGGGAGATGATGGGAGATTGAAGGAAAAATTGGTCTTGGTAAGAAGACCTAGGGCCAATGGACAAAAGCACCTGAAGATAGCTCACAAACAGTCATGACACTCCCACAGACTGAGATGCCTGGAAGGAAATGGGTTCTCTGGCACTGAGAGTATTCAAGTGTGTCTGGCTACTCCTAGAATTGGCCATGCCCTAAGTTAATAAAAGCTCTCTTCCTTTTAACCCTATGTCCCAACTTTGTTGTCAGTTTTCCAGGATATAGAGGGGAGTCTACCTCTAGCCCAACTTACTTACAGTCCAACACACAGGCCTACCTCCCCGTGCCCATGACTTTCTAGCCTTGGCTGCCCACTCACCTCCCTTTGTCCCCAGAGCTCAGGCCAGCCTTTTACCCCCACTTGGAGCTGACAATATGAGCTCATCTGGGCAGCCCAGAGAAGCCCAGAGGAACCAGCCGGGAAAGTCTGAATCACAGAGGCAGAGGCCAGGGTTCTGCTCTAGGGAGAAGTGCTGTGGGATGGGTGTGTGCCCTGTAGCTGGAGGTTGCTCAGAGGTTGTTGTAAGGGCTGGAGGTTGGGAGGGATACCACGAGGCTGACATTGTGAGTGACATTATGTAGAACCTGATAAACACTCAGGAGTCCCTCAGGGGTGATGGAAGAGACAGAGGGCACATGGCTAGTAGAGGGCTGAAGACCTCCATGTGTTGGAAGGACCTGGGACTTAGTATCCTAGAAGGATGGGACCTGAAAAAAGAGAAGGCATGTTTAGTAAACAAAGCCCTCTTAATGGAAGAGCAGACTGAGGCCCAAGTAGAGACCGGGAATCATAGACCTCACACCCAAACTTCCCACTCCTACCCAGCCATTTTCACTGTGATTCACATAAGTGAAATCCTGTGCTCAAGCATTAAAAGTAGAGGTAAGATTGAGGGAGCTTCCATTGAGGTGCTGGACTTCCCTTTCTCTGCAGCACTGGTGATGTCAGAATTGCACACCTGTGTGTACACAGGCCAAGGTTACCTGGTTGACCTGGGATGCCTAGGTGATCTGGATAGACCCTGAAGCCCTGCAGACCCAGAGAGAGAACGAGGACAGAAGATGACACCAGCTTCTGCAGCTCAAGCTCACCTGTGAGTCACCTGGGAGCCTCGCAGGCTGGACATAGTTTCTTCCAGGTTCTGTCGAAGATCTAGGACATTCTGTACTGTCCTCTTTCTCTGGGACTCTGGATCTGGCAAAGACAAGAGGAAGAGCTAGGTGAGTGGAGAGGGTTTCCTGGTAGGGATGAAGGCCAGGGAAAGGGAGACAGACCACATCCTTGAGAGGGCAGATCCTGGGCATGCCTCTTCTCTTCCCCAAAGATGACCAACAATAGGTATTGCCAAAGGCTCCCATACATACCCTTGGGCCCTCTGAAACCCTGAAACCCTGATTCTGATAAGGGCTGTAGACAGGACCTCTGTCTGCATTCCTCTCAGACTCTCTCCCCATGTTACTGCCTCTGCCTTGGGCATTAGTTTGGGGAGATGGTTCCTCTGACAGCAGAAGCAGAGGTCATGGGTAAGGTTTCCTGTGGTCAAGGTGAAGTGGAACACTGGCTTGAAACCTCCTTCCCAGCAGTATGTTGGTATATGCTTACCAATTGGCCCTTGTAGGAAGGGACACTCTGATGGGCAGTGTTTACCTATTTCCATGGTGTAAATGCTCCTACCATGGTCACTTTCAGTCCACTAACATGCCACCGATCAGTGTTCTGAAGACTTGGAAATGTGTGGGGTTGTGCTAAGGGGTCTAGGGGAGGCAGTTCCAACAAAGCCTCCTAAAGGTGAGGTTGTTGATAGGAGCTGGAGATGAGCAGTCATTTTCTGGGGCAATTCAGATTCTAGTCAAATGGTGGAATCCTGACTGAATAGGGAGCATGGGTGTGGCCAGAATCTGTAATGATCAAGCCATTTTGTTCAACCTTGGTTTCCAGGCAGGATGACGTTAGCCTGCACAGATGAGAGCCTCCAACAGCAAACACAGCTTCATCCCTTCTTCTTTCCAGGGTGGAAACAGTCTCCAAATAACTCAAAGAACATTCTCCTCCCTTCAACTGATCCATCCAACAACTATTTTTAATTTTTCTAATTTTTTAATTTTTATTTTATGTATCTAAGTGTTTTTCCTGCCTGTATGTAAGAGCACTTGTGCCTGCAACGCCCACAGAGGTCAGAAGAGGGTGTTGGAGTCCCTGGAACTGGAGTCATAGATGGTTATTAGCCACCACCATGTGGGTACAAGGATCCCATCTCCAGCCCCTCATCCAAAAAATCTTTATCAAACACATACTTGGTGCCAGGCACTGTGCCAGGCTCTGAGACACTGTACTGAAGAGGCTCAGGCCCTGCCCCGAGATTTATCTTTTAGTTGAAATCTAAAATCATTGTCACTGAACAGAATCTAGCACCTCCTTCCTCTTCAAAAGGCAGTCTTCAGCAGAGAAGACTTGCTCTGTGGGCAAGCCAACCTTACCACTGCCACGCCCCCCCCACCCCCCACCCCCCAGACTCAGCAGGAGAGCAAGCTCCTTTTGGCTGCCAAAGAGAACATTTCCGAATCCCATAAGAGGTCTTTTTTTTTCTCGAGACTGAGCTCAGGCTGGCTAGCTGTCACTGGCTTGCTGGCCAAGAGAGGCTGGGTGGAGTGGCAGGGGCCTCCCCAGAGCCTCTGGGTCTCTTCTCTAAGGACCAGAGCCACACCTGGGCCCAGTCATCTCTACGTTCCCCTCCCGGGGGGACTTACCCCCCTCAGCTTCTCATGGTCAGCCCCATGTACCCAGCCCACCATGTTGATGGCAAGGAACAGGGACAAATGGTAGGCTTCCACGCCAGTGGTCTGTACTCTGTCCATAGCTCTGGCGTGACTTCTTTGGCTGCCAATGCCTGTTTATCCTGGCAAGTGTCACTTTGTGAGCTACTCCATAGCTTTAACTGATAGCTTGTCATGGAGCACAGACAGGGTCAGAAGGGATGTGTGTGCGTGTGTGTGTGTGTGTGTGTGTGTGTGTGTATTTGCTTGTTTGTTTTTTATACCTATATATTTTAAGGTTTAATTCTCAGATGTCTATGTGGGGATCAAGAAGATGGTGCCAAGACATGGGTTTCATAGAAAGATGATGCCTTCTATGGTTTTGGCAGAAATGAGCCAAGGCACACACATCTCCAAGAGGTGTTTCCAAAGAGGAAGATGACCAAGAGTGACGCAGACTTCTGGGTGTGCCGGATTCTTTGCACACATCATCTAGTTGAATCCTTATAGCATTTCTGGGAGAGTTGTGCTTTTGTTCCATTTTACAGATGAGAAAACTGACACTTAAGAAAGATCAAGTAAATTGCCTGAGGCCACACAGCTAACCACACAGCTAGCATGTAACATGGGCAGAGCTGGGGCCTGAAAGAAACCTATTTCTTTTGACATATCAGGGCATTCCTGTATCAACAGCATCATGCAGTGACTATACACAGTAAGTGCTTAATGAACATGTCGAGAATGAATGAGTGCAACCACCATTTTTTTTAAATCAATTTTTTTTTTTTGGTCTTTTTGAGACAGGGTCTCCCTGTAACCCCAGCTGGCTTGGAACTCACTATATAGTCCAGGCTGGCCTTGAACTCACAGAGATTCATCTGCCTCTGCCTTCCAAGTGCTGAGATTAAAGGCATGCACCACCACACCTGGCAACAACCACCATTTTTAACACTTCATTTATACACACACACACACACACACACACACACACACAAAGTAGTTGGATACTAGCATTAAAATACATTTTTCCTCTTTGTTTTTTTAAGGAAAAAATGTTTAAGCCATACAGTAGCCAGCTTCATTCTTGGCCCTGAGACATAGAGAGGCAGCACGGTATCCACAGAGAATGGAACTGTTCTACTTCCTGCTGCATCAGTCACAACGCCCTCTTCCCCTAGGCTCCTCGAAGATCTCCATCCAAGCCTCTACGTCTTTCTATGTTAACAGAATGTGGTGGGACTTCCCCATAAAACTAGACTCCTCAAAAACCAGAGACACAGAGGTCCTTGAAGTGGTTCAGCCCAGCCATGTTTATCACACAGAAGAGGCAGGAGGCCAAGGTGCAGTGGGGGCAACGAGCTGAAGATTAAGAGAAGCTAATGGAAGAATTATCTGTATTCGTCCTTCCCCCAGTGTAGGTTTAGGGAGGGCAAGGAGCTTAGGACAAGGCTTGATTTGCTGGGGGTGACAGGATCTGCTAGGTGCCCAGGCTGTGATGGTTCTGCAGAGGCTACACACTAGAGCTCCCTCTGTGCCCCAGCAGTGTCACCTGGTGGACATCTTGGGTATCCCACACTGATTCTTCATAGTTCAGCTAGTGTGTGTGTGTGTGTGTGTGTGTGTGTGTGTGTGTGTGCATTTCCTGGTGGGTCTGGCTGCCCTCTACATTCCTGGGGGAAGGATATATGAAACTGCGGTCCCAGGATGAGCCCTAGGGTTTACATGCATAGAAGGACAAACCTCCTGGGACCCAAGGGGCCAAAGACATTTTGCCTAAGTATATATATGGGTGCAGGGGGGGGGCACACAGCCCTGATCTCTAAGGAAAATCTCCATGTTTAGTTTTAAAATACAATAAGTTGCATTTGCACAAGAGTTTTCTTTGGAGTCAAAACATACATGATGATTCAAATTAAGTGCCATGGAATAATATGCCTAGCATCATGCCTCACATGTGGTAAACATGTGGTCACTGGTACTGTGTGCCCTTAAGTATATTTGATTGTTGGTCCTTAGGCCTAAGACTCTTGACATGGTCAGGATATTCTCCATGGACTTGTATGAGAGCCTTTCACCCTCTCCCACTCCTGACTCTCACTCTGTCTACCCTGACCCCCAGTCTATAACTAGGCATCATCCCTTTCTCACTGTGTCCTGTGAAAATGAGGATCTGGGAAGAGGTGGAGGCATTTCTGGCATTAGCTACTTAGTGATGATGTCAATGTAACCTAAAAATGCAATTCTTTGTTCTACGTTAATGTCTTCATCAACTGTGTGGCCTCAGCAGGGGTGGGCCTAGGGGCAAATTAGAGCTCAGGAATGTCAAAGATGGAGGAATCTCCTCCTTAGTATAGATTAGTGCTCAGGATGTTCCTAGCCTATGTGGCACCTTTGTGTAAATTACAACAGTCTTGTCTTGGTTACTCAGCCTTGCCAGGCCTAGGCCTTGGCCAGTAGAGTATACCTTCTCCTTCCTCCAGTGGCCTCCATGTGTCTGCTTTCTAAGTTCCTGCAGAACAGGATATAGCTCCAAGGGTGAAGTGTGTGTAACAGAGTTGGAGGGAAGTCAGGTAGAGCTCCAACTAGTCCAGGGTAATATAGGTCTGTAAGGAATGGAGGGATGCTCACAATGGTATGGTCTGGGCGGTGTTTCCAAGTTTTCTCTTGTAAAAGGTACAACCAAGGAAGATATGTACATTCCTTCGGCTCAGAAGAGATGCAAGAGTGTCCCCTAATCTGGCCATCACTATGGCAACTCAATGGTTGCCACAATCAGCAGCACCATGCCAAGATGTGCAGAGGCACCTGTAGGTTGACATTTCTTCCTACACGGCTGGTTCCCACAAAGAGTATCAAGAGTGAGAATTAGGACCAACCATCAAATATACTTGATATACAGGTGCCAATAATGCCAATGACCATGAGTTTAACACATGTGAGGCATGATGTTAGGCATATTACTCCATGGTATCTGATTTGATTCATCATGTTTGTTTTGACTCCAAACCCCCTATTCTTTCTGTTATAGTACAGTGCCTCAAAATACGTATATCTCATCAAGGCTTATCTCACAGTGTTCTGCAATTCTGCAGACATGCACAGAGAGATCTGAGTGGCTATTTCTGCCACTGTATGATAGGACGGAAGACGACTAAGAGATGCTCAAAGAAGAGACACAATTTGCGCTAAAGACGGGAGGGTCCAGGGTACACCGAGGGGTGACATTACTTCTACCTGAGTTGACATCACACCAGGAGAAACCGGCCTTCCCAGGAGTAAGAAGCTGTTAAGCAAGAGCCCAAGACCCAGGAGAAACTGGATCAAAGTATAGTGATAAAAATGCAGTTCTTAAAGTCAAGAAGAAGACCTGACTTTCAGGTCTTGCACTGCCCCTTCCCAGCTGTTGACCTTGAACAAGTCACCTCACCTTCCTGTTATTTT